ATTCACTGAATATCGGCGCCATTTATGCAAAGGTATATGGAGGACTATGTACTATACGCAATACTTTCTCATCTTCCCGCCCTCCCGGAGCGAGAGAGGAGGAGGGCAGGAGGGTGAGAGACCCTGGGAACGAGGTTGTATGTAACACACGTTGTGTAATGTGTATGGATATTTAGAATGCCAAACTCAGAACTTAAAAGCTCAAGCGTGGATAACGAATTCCTCAGTGGTGTTTCTATACCACATCAATGCGATTGGGGCTACTATCCAGAGAGACAATCAAATAGTCGTTTACAAAGACAGATGCTGTCTGCTGCGCAGCATAATCTGCAGGTGTAAACTGGATGTTTTTCCACTGAAAGACATCTATTTTTTGTCAATCACGTAAATATAAATTCGATTTATTGGGTTCGACAAGGTGAGTTGAGAACCATTTTGTGTATGAATCATATTTCGAGTGATACTCGGTTTCATTCCCCTTCAATTCGTAATCCTATGGATAAGTCAAATTAAATCAGTTCGAGAAGATCTACCTGCAGTGTTCAGACACGCTTTTGATAAGCGAAAAGGCTCAACTGCCGAATGCGGCTAGCTCAATTAACACCGTGAAGATAGCAGATGCATCTGCCGAATCATGTTTGTTAAACTTAAGAGTGTCGTGGTTTTCCATAATGAAATTACAAAATAATATTTAAGTTATTGATTTACATTTTACAGCAAATCTTCATGCTAACCCATAAAGTTACTCTAGAGCCCTAATTGAGGACATTCTAATACAAAGCTCTAAGCTCAATCCTATGTACTATATCTAAACTTCACGAAATTAGTTTAGGCCTAAGTGGCGACTATTCCTTTTGCAAAACTGATCCAGAAAAGTTGTATCATTTCAAACAGTTGTCCTTATTCTAGAGCTTTCCGTTGTCTGTGGTTTCTGTGGTCTGAAGATCTCGCTTGTGATTGAGTATAACACAAAAAATTCCTGATACTGATTTTATAAGTAAAGGCCACTATTTAGGATATGTCGTCACGCATCAAAAGGCTGACTTTGTGCAACGTCATCGACACTGCACATTTTTGAAGGAGGCTAAGCACGATAATGCGCATATGCAGCTTTGAATGTCAGTTAAATATAACCAGAGCTGGCCTTTCTATTCTTCTGAAGTTTTAAAACAAATTATTACATCTTGGCTTTAGCTAGCCGGTCAGTTAGTTATTCAGTAAGTCATCAGTCAGTCGTTCAATTGCTCATTTATTCAGTCATTCATTGGGTCAGTCAGTCAGTCAGTCGGTCCGGCGGTCGGTCAGTCAGAGCAAGTCAGTTTACCAGACAGTCAGTCAGTCAATCAGTCAGACAGACAGACACACAGACAGACAGTAAACCAGTTGGTGACTGAATCAATGGAGAAAGTCATTTGTTAGGTCAGAGAGTAGGTTGTTTAGAATTTGCAGGTGGTGCAGACATGCAAGCATCTGGGAGGTCAGCACATTCTCCCATCGCAAACACTTCATTGTAAGCGGGAGGTGGACTGCTGGGAACGTTACGACAACGTGGACAGGAAGCTTTGTTTTGATTTGTAGCAGCATCCGGCTGAGGAACATGACCAGTCGTAGGATGAACACTTGGATCATTCCTCAGTAGTTTGTATAGGAAGTAAATCACCACGCACATGACAACCACTCCTACGGTGCACGATCCTCCGAGTAGCGCTCCGCCTGAATTTGTCACAACATTGGAGAATTCATCCAGTCGTTCATCTTCAGGACACACACCTGGAAACAACAGCAAACCATGAGACTGAAAACTTCGCTAGATCATGACAAAGACGCTAACAGCCTCATCTTTAATTAGTTTAAGTTTGTCTTATTTTCTACTTTGGCGCTACAGCCAAATGAGAAGAATTCGTCTTAAGAGTTTCTATTAGAGAAAAATACAACATTTGCTTACACAGGTTAGCTAGTTTTCATGCAGGTCCTCTGTCCTGGTCCAATTAGAATTTGGAGTGTTGGAGAATTTTTCTTTTTTCTTTTGGAGTTGTGAGCGTCTCACAGCACACAACGGACTGACTAGCTGGTTTTACCTTATAGACAGGGGTATTAGGGGATTTTGTTGGAGTTGTGAGCGTCTCACAACACACAACGGACTGACTAGCTGGTTTTACCTTATAGAGGGGGGCATGAGGGGGTTTTGTTAAAGTTGTGAGTGTCTCACAGGACACAACGGACTGACTAGCTGGTTTTACCTTATAGAGGGGGGGATTAGGGGATTCTGAACACCGCAAAAAATTCGGCAAATACTGCAATATCCCAAAAATAATCGCGAAATACCGCAATACTTCGATACCGAGTCGAAGTTCGATGTTCTATCGAAACCAGTACTCTATATATTGAGTACTCTGTATGCCGCGTTTAGAGCAAATAACACGGGAATAACAATCAAGAATTTGTTAATGAACGATAAGTCACGTTATTTTCGATGTACACAAAATAATCAAAACCTGTGACATGCATTGCAGTGTCGGCTAATAATTAGCAAAAACTAACCCTTTTCCGCATAGGACACAAGGATTTGCGGTTTTCCGTTACCATAAGAGCTAAGCTTCATTGAGTATATCGTCCACTCGGAAACTGGAAAAGGATCAGAAAACATTGGAGGACTAAGAGGATAATTTCTAACACGCATCCTGCAGGTTCGGAGAATACAGCAATACTCCAATACGAGATTAACATGTCGAATCCAAGTTGCTTCGAATATATTCAAAAAAAAACGGTCGGACAAAGAGTGTGGTAACAAACGTCGAACCTGCGTCGATCCCATTTCACAAGATGTACTTCATTAAGACACGGGAATAAGCACATGTCCCCGTGCTATTCACTCGATGCGCGCTAGTTGCTGCTAGGACGTGCTAGCGAAATGACGATACTCTGCTCTTCAGACAACGGTAGACCCGGCGCGGCTCTCTTTAGGGCCCTATCACAAGCCTCTCAGTATGCAAAGCTTTTACCGGTTGTCCATTCCTCAACGTCCTCGTTTTCTTCAAGCACTGAGCATTTATATTGCAAACAGGGAATTTGCATCTCAAGCATTTATATTTAGTGTTTATGAAACAAGAACAACACAGTCATCAGCAATGACTTTCGATAGCTCGCCATTTCCGGCATTCTCGTCCCCAGAGACCGCGCTCCTTTCGGTGCTGACCAAAGGGAGCGCGGCCTCCGGGGACAAGAATACACTCCCGGTCGCAAAATTGTCTTTGTACTGCGCGTGCTCGTCAGGGGGGTAAATAGCTTTTGGGAGATGGGGTGTATGTATTTCTGTGACGTTTGCCCAGTCTTTTACTTTGCAATCGTCGAACTTATTCTAGAGTCGAACCAATAATTAATTTGATTCAAACTTAATTGCGGCAAACGTCGCACCATTCGTGGGCCTATTTCAAAATTAATCAAAACTATAACAAAATTCTCGAACGTGATTGGCTATCAGCAGCCCGATTTGAGCATTGACTGGACAGCGTATACGCGTCATGCTTGTAATTGGACAGTACGCGTCATTTTGCGGTGCGCTGTTGCGGTGCACTCGTGATTAACAAATCGGACTCCCGCTTCGCGGTCGTCCGAGTTTGTTTATCACTCGTATGAATACAGACTGAATTAGACTCCACTCAGTCCTATTACCATTACTAACAGCCGACTTGACAAAGTTACAGCATGCAACCAAAGGGAATTAAGTTTTCATTGTTCTCATAAATAATTGTATCAGGATAACGCGCAGCTATAAAGTTTGGAATAAGAAGATTATCGTTACCTAAGGCGTTGGATCAAATTCAGACCTCTTGCTTTCCACGTTATACGAGGAGTATAGAGAATGGGGGTACGAGAACATTTTTAAAAAAACAAAAAAAACAGCCTTCCCAAACCCCGGCAAGACCATTTTTTGCTCACGAGCGGCCCCAACTCCAAAAATACCAAAAATCAGTTTTTTTTTCACTCTTTAACAACATATGAAGCGAAGCGAAGCCGAGCGGGCTTCTCGGCAGCGCAGGCTAAAGCAAGTTTTTGCTTGCAAAAACGCAGCTGTGTCGAGCAGGGGATGGAGAAGTCCATCAGCTCATAATCGTGATGGCGAGAAGGGTCATAGACGAGGATCGAGCGAACCGACGAACGTAGGCGGTTCTGCGAAGCAGAAATGGCGATGGAGCGATTTCTAGTGTTTTCTTACAAGTGATGATCACTATTAAACCCTTACCATTTCATAATCAAAACTATATGTTTCTCAAAATATTTGTATAATCACCAGACAATAACGTCACATTTCTCAGAAACACCGGATGACATTCTCAGAAAGACAGCGGGACTTTCCATCGGAAATGAGTCATCGAAAGTCAACCAATTAGATTTTGAAATAGTAAGGAACATAAGTAAAGTTTACTTTAAAGTTTCATTTCAAAGTTTACTCTGAAGTTTTACTCAAGATAAATGAAGTCTATACTGGGACTTTCCCGAGGAACAATCATCCAATCAAAATTTGTCTGATGAATGAGACAGTTGTTGAAACCCACGCAAACTCGGCTTTATTCGTTTGATGCTTGTATCACGTTTAAAAAATAATTTTCGAACGGTAATAATAATGAAAACTCCCCATTATTTTTGCAAAAGCTGTCAATTAATAATAATAAGCTTTATTGAGGAAACTTTTTCACGTACATGTGGTTTTCGAAAAGGAGCTCAAAGATTAATACTAATTAATAGAACTAAAAATTCCAATCATATTAAAAGAGGTTCATGAGAATACGGAGTATCATAAGACACGTTTTGATAAATTTGTTAAACAAGGGATAATTAAATTTGATATAAAACAAACAGAAGAAATCTTGCGTGACAGGAAATAATTTCCCCGGGACTGTCTATCTATGATTATTTATGTAATCGTTCTCACTTTATTTCTAACACGTTAGAAACACAATTCAGAGTTGATTATGCTCTCTTATCTATTATAGCTTTCTGCCATGGTTAATGAACCGGGACATCCAAAATTGAACCATTTACCATCTTTATAAATATTGCATTCACAACCAGGTGTCTTCTTCTTGGTTATTTGCTTGTAAGGCGGTTTTGATTTCGCGAACTGTCTCTTGATATTTTCACCAGCTCGCTGAAATGTTTTACCGCTCCAAAAATTTTTGAAAGCGGGTTTACTACTTGGCATTAATTTTTCTGTTGTTTATTGAATAACATCTATTGCCATCCCAATACCCGGTGAATTACCTCCTGTTTGGCTCTTGACAAATTTGGTTTTAGTTATTCCACATTCAACACATTTACATTTTAACATCAATCTTCCATTTTTAGCATGCACATATTTTTCGCTACCTGGAACATCATCAAACAGTAAAGAACTCACACAATTTCATTCTATTTCATAATAACCATAAGCATAACTTGTTATTTCATCATCATGGATGAATCTCTTGTCGTCGAAAAAACTCAAGCTCACTTAGTTAATCTCATAACCTCCCAGCTGGTGATGGTCAGATCTAATTGTTTTCATTTTGACACATTTGAGTATTATTAAACAATGTGTTTCTATAATCTTCATGTCTGATGTCTTTTTGATCACCGTTTTCTTGATTCCTTGAGCCGTCTTATTGTTTTTCCATCATCTTTAATGTAACTGTACATTTTACTTCTGAGTCCAACAAATTCAGTTATTATTTGGTCAGCAGTTTCATCTTTGAACTTACCAATGACTTTTTTGTTTGTTTTGTCAAAAACGGACTGTTTTCCGGATAGTCACTGTTATCAAACTTGCTTTTGTCTTTCCAGAATTCTTCATACACATCATTCGTTTATATTTCATATGTCAAACTGTCAGTATCTGTAAATAATAATTTAACTTTATCACCATATTTTCGCTTGATATAATTGTAGTGGAAATCGTACGTTAATGTCTTACCGAGATCAAGAATACACATACCAATATATGCCGGCCTGTTCAAGGTTAGTGTATCCAATACCGCTATCACCAGAAAGATAAGTTGAGATAAGTTGAGATAAGTTAAGATAAGTTTGCATATTCATTCTACTTCAATAGACTCAAAAATCGATAAATTGAATATAAAAAAGATATGTAATACATCATGTAGTACGTCATGTAGTACACCCTATATATTGCTAAATGTTTTATCCAACTGTTGATGAAATAGTGGCTCACCATAAAGGTGATTGTGGTTGAATTCCCCAAACCTTTGAAAAATAGTAAAACGTGAGTAATACACGTGTTACTCAAATATGCTAAAATAGTGTAACCTATATATGATCATACATTTGTCAGATGTGATTTCACTACATCTGTTTTTGCTATTTTGATGGCCAAGATTAATACTGATCCTGGCTGTTTATTCCACTACCATTCTAGGTTCAATTTTTGTTAATTGTTTGCAATCTTTTTTAAACCATTTGGTTTTCGATCCACAGGTTGGGCATTGTACAGTTCTTTTCGGTTTTATATTAGCTGATTTTTTATAATCTTCCGGTAAATCTTCTTTTTTGATATACTCAAATTTATACCAACAACAATCCTTTTTAGACAATCTTGATTTACAACGTTTAATATTTTCACAAATCATTTTCACCAACCCAGAATTAACACCTAAATGTTGCTGAACAGAATGCATGCTATTATAATATGAAACGTCTTTCGTTTTTTGATTGATAGCTTTCACACATCTTTTATTTCCACGGTTACATTTGATGAATGAATGATCACGTTTTTT